AGAAGCGTTAAATGCTTAGCCCGTGCTTATTGCCCAAGTTCATAATATTCATATAAATAATATCATCCTTTAAAGGAAATAATTGCACTTTTCACATGTTAAGAAATATGTGGGAAAAATTTAATTTCAATCCAGCCAACAGAATTACCAAAAACATGATGTTTAAACGCAAGAAGTTGTCTAAAATTCCATCTAGAGAAAAATGCATTTTAAACATGGAAATGAAAGCTCATCTGTGTGTCAGTGATGTGCTTTTTGAAATGATTTGTTCTATTATGAGAGCTTCGGAATTGTGGGTATTTTGAGCATGTGACTTTGGTGAGCTCATGTGAAATGCAATGACAAGCAGCCAGGTAACAATTTCCAGAGGACTCTAGACAATGAGCTCTTTTTAGTTTTTTATAGCCACCTTGGGCTCTAAAGGTATTTTAGCCGACTTCAAGTTTAGCTACAATCTTGATTTTTTTTTCTTTTGGTCATGAAAGCAGGAAAACTAAACTTGTGAAAGCAATTAAAAACAAAAAGATTATGTAATTTTGGAGAAAACTTGGGTTTTTCAACGAGAATTTCCACTTCATAAATGCTCCATTAGTGCTCTCACTTGTGTGTCAAAGATTTATAGACTTTTAGCCAGAATCTCATTGCAAATTTCGTGACCGTTGCATGGTTTTCTCAGAAGTTGGTTTCATTTGTGGTGTGTTGGGAGAATATTAAAATTTGCATGTGTGTTGCATCTACTTCTTAGTAGGAAGAAGAACTGAGGGGCTTGGTTATATTTAAAGTGCAGCTCTTTGGTGTTCATTTCTTGGAAGAGCATTCATTGGCCTCGGCATAATGGAGTAAATTATTGCTCTGAAAGATTTCGTGGATTGCGCATCTTGAGTCGTATGACGCTCTCCAGCTTTGGCCCTGCGATTCTCGCCGCTTTAACAGAAAATAACAAAAAATAGCAATAAGTGATAAATATTGATAAAAGTACACTATGGGGGCTAAAAATATATATAGAGATCTCTAAGTGCAGTAGCTATCACTGAAACAGAAAGAAAAGATACAAAATAAAAGTGTGAGAAAAATAAACAAAGATGAGAAATAAAACAAGAATGGAAAATTAAATAGCAAACTAAAAATTATATGTTGCTGTACACTGTTGTCCTTTATGAAAAGAACACGGGAGCGCGTGGCCCGCGATCTTTGGAGGCCGCCAACAGCGCCATCAACTTACAGCGAAAAAAAAACGTGTTCGCTTTTGCTGTCATTTATCGATGAACAAAATAACCAGTCACCGTCAGTCTCGAGGTGTGCGCTCGCCTCCAGACTGGCCGTGGCCTGTAGGAGCACCGCTTGATATGCTCCCGCTAGATAGCGCAACCGGCGATGCCTGCAACGCGTCATCTGCTGCGAATAAATCGAGCGTGGTCCATGATTGCAGCCTACACATAAAGGCACTGTCCTTCGCAACTCGCTCAAAGTGCAATTCACTTATGCCAGTTGTGCTTCGACGAAACTAGAGATGTCTAGGCAAGAAGTATGCACTCAGGTTAAGGCATGGTTGTAGTTTTCATTTTGTAAAGTGTATCAGTGTACGCCATGAAAATTGTCTTTCGAGGTTGAGTCCCACTTACCTGGAATGTAACACTCTGCCAGCCGAGAAAAAAAATGGTACTTTGGCTTTAGTAATATGTGCACTTCATGCTGTAATGCCATGAATAACCCAGCCACCCTTACCATGGTTACAGCGAGCGAGATCTTGCCGTGTAAAGAAAACTTGAAGGAAAAAAGTTTCATATGTTAGCAAACATTTAGCTAAATGCATTTGCAGATAAAAATCATAATCATCATAATCGCAAAATGACATGACACATATCAATATGTTGACATAAAAAATACGAAACATTGTCTTCTGTCTCGAGCACCAAGGAAAAACAACTGAATTGTACTGTTATAGGACACTTCTCAATACCTGGTGGCGTCCCCATTTGTTGCGACAACAGCTGCCATTCTTGAGGGCAGCGAGTTGTACAAGACAGCTGTCAGTGACCTGTCGCTTTTCAGCCGCTCCCACTCCTCCTTTACGGCACCCCAAAGGTCGTCAGCAGAGACTCCGTGCAAAGACTGACTCGCTAGTGCGGTTTTCAAGAGTTGTTTCGGATGCCTTAACACCCTGTTCCTGAAGAATTTCATGAGCTGTTACCCGCAATAGTCGCTGCCTCTGCAGCTACTATTGCAGGGTCTTCGTCCGTAGTCATTGCTCGTGGTCTGCGCCTATGCAGAGTGTCCTTCACATGGCGTTCTTTTTTGAAGGCCTGCACTATCCTATCTACTGTATTTAGAGGCCTTTTCATAATTGAGGCAATTTGTCGCTGACTGAAACCAGCAATGCTGAGCTCAATAACTTTTTCTCGTTCCTCAGGTGGAACACCTGCCATCTTGATGGCTCTCTGACTACTGTCCCACAGAAAAGAAATTAAACTTAGCATGCCCATATCCCTCCTTATCAAGTCACCAGGCTACGAGTTGCGCATCCAAAATTTCCCTCTCGCAGCATCTTCAAGCTCATGCACTCATGTAAACTAGCATAGTAAATTCTATCTTTGTCTCGGTATTCCTAAATGTTCCTCGACACGAACTTGGTCCACCAACTCAACTGATAACAATCAGGGTCACTGGATGACTACGCACTACACGGGGTGCGGCCTGCTGCGTCGCCCGAACCCGGCGTGAGGAGGCTCGTTCTCTGCGACCCCGCAGCAGCGCTACTGCTGCGGGACAAGCGCACGTGGATGAGAACGTTTCTTTGGTGGTTTCTGCATTCTTCGCGCAACACGTTTAGATTTCATAGTCGCGAAAGTTGGATATTCGATTTTGTTTTTTCCAGAGTCTCGTTGCAAAGAATTTAAGTTTGCATCCAGCTATTGCTTGGCTTTTATTCATTGTTTTTCTCTTTTCATTATGTTAATGTAAGTACATCTATTTCGTTTGTCGCAGCTTCTTAATATGTTCAAAACTTAATCCTCATGTGTGCATGAATTTTAATTTATTTTCTGCTAATCCTCATTTTAATTTATAATTTATTATTTAGTGTTTACTTCATTGGGGTATACCTGTCTTTTTTTTACTCTTCACTCACATTCTGCATCAAAACACTTGTCCTTGTGTCTTTCTATCTGGTTGTTGTATTTTGTTATTTATGTTATTTATGTAACAGATATGAATGTAAATGGATATTGATGTCTTTATACTCAAATGAAACTGTGCGGAAAGGAATGTTAATAAACTTAGACTGAAGCCCCGAATCTCCTACATCTTTGTTTCGTGTGCAATATATATCCCACTTGTATGTGCTGTTCAGATGAAAATAACCTGGCAGCATACTCTGAAGATCGGTTTCTTTTTCCTTCATTTATAATTTATTGGCGCCCTGTGTAACAGGCATAGCGACTTTGTACCGTTACCACTAAGCTTGTTCTAAATAAAAAACGCCAGAGAGCGCGGACTCAGATGCGTGAATGCCGCGTGCCAGCAAGCAGTTGCACCCTTTGAAGGCTGTATCGTAAAATATTTCAGCTTTGCCGCCTCGTTCATGACACTAGGAAAATCTTTCTAGCCACTATAATCTCTCCAACTCGTACAAAGAAGTCGTGCACTACTGATTCGTTCCGGCTTCCCGGGGAGAGAGCTGTCTCGTACTATCAGCACCCCCACAGGAAAAAGTAGCAGCAAATGTCAACTTTCTTTTCACAGCGGCACCCACACAAACCGGTTCGACGTAGCAGGCCGCACCCCGTGCAGTGCGTAGTCATCGAGCGGCCGTGTAACAACACTGCAGCTCGCCTGAAAACCATGCAGCTGTTTTCATGGAATGAAAGTCTACAGACAGTGCATTTAGGCATAGCAAGTGCTGGCGCAACACGCTCCATTTATTCGCAGCAGACGATGCGCTGCAGGCATTGCCGGTTGCGCGATGAAAGCGGGAGTGTAATCCAGCAGCGCTTGTGTACCGGCCCTGGCTGGTTATTTTCTTCGCCGATAGATGACGGCGAAATGGAACGTGTTTTCTTTCGCTGACGGTTGATGGCGTTGTTGGCGGCCACCGCAGAGCGCCGGCCACGCGCTCCTGTGTTTGGTTTCATAAAGGACGACAGTGTACATACATCATGTCTTCTTCTAATTCTTTCCCTCAATGTATTGCCAAATGAAAAGACAGAGGTGCACTCATGCTTCGCGTTAGGGGTATTTTTTCGGTGGTAATTTTTTCAGTGACAACAATATGGAGTATTTTTTTTTAATTTTTCAAAATGTTCGTGGCTTTTAAAAGGCCTAGAATGCTAAAAACATCTTTTGGTGATTTGTGTGTTAAGCAGCAGTGCTTTAACATGAAAGTCAAACTGAAATTGGGCATTTTACACTTAAACAAGTGTCTGCATTCTGGTACACTTTTCATGCAAAAGCACTTATTCTTTGAAGATCAATTTTAAACAAAGCTCTTGTGGGAAAATTCTGGGGCCACTGATGGTGCTTGTAGAAAGAGAGGAATCACATCGCAGTGAACACTCAGCAGGGAATGAGAACGGCAATGTCATCTACATTGGACGCTATTCAACATTCACAATTTTTATTGCTGGTTTTGTTAAACCTATCACTGTAAAAACATAGAGACAAGAAATGGTTTATCCCGTTGTTGGAGTTGCTTTAGACTTCTTGCTATGCTTGTAGCAGTAAACAGTTGTGGATACCACAGAACAAGGATGACAGCTGCTGCTAGACATGTGGCTATGCTGCTCAGTGGGCAGCTTAATTTTACTTTGCCATTCCTTAGATAGGAGGAGAAGGTGATGGATCGCAGTTTCTATCAACCTGTTAAGGCCAATGAATGGGGCTTGAAAGTATGAATGTCCTCTGCTGACCAATGTCTAAATGACGGAAGTCGGGCAATTGTAGTTGCATTGTCCCAGCATTTTTTTGACAATAGTTTACTCTTTTTGTCCTGTATGCACTCTTAGGATCACAAGGTACATGTGTACATCTTGAAATGTCACAGCATAACAGAGAAGAAAGTTTTGGACCACAGTGGAGCAATTACAGATGTCAGATACTCGCCTGACGGCCAGTACCTGGCTGCGTCTGATGCCAACAGGATGGTTCGTCTGTATCTCAGCTCAAGCTATGAGGTATGGCATGTGAGCTCATTTTGTATCCTTGTAAGCATGCGGGCTCACTCCTTTCACATCTGGTACAACTTGGTGAACTAGCATGTTTTTTATTTTAGCTATGCAGGTCTTATTCTTGGAGGCAGTCTAATATGAGCATTTCAATAATATTGCAGCCTTTTAGACGGAAAAAATATTAATAAATGGTAGTGTTGACTTAAGCTTTCTATCTACCTATGAGTAAACTTGTTCATTTTATATTTGCCTGAACTCTGAAGTCGTGAGATGAAGCAAGAAGTTCTAGCTGCGTAACATATTTGAAACATAGTTCTGCAGCTTTCAAGGATTTCAGGGCTTTTTTGGTATACTTAAAAGTGGCCCTGCAATACATATTTTTTTTAATATAGTCAGAAAATGTCATCCATCATTACTGTTCCACTAACGTGCGACCCTGGTATTCATCATCATCATCATCATCAGCCTGGTTACGTCCACTGCAGGACAAAAGCCTCTCCCATGCTCCGCCAGTTAACCCGGTCCTGTGCTTGCTGCTGCCAATTTATACCCGCAAACTTCTTAATGTCATCTGCCCACCTAACCTTCTGTCTCCCTCGAACCCGCTTGCCATCTCTGGGAATCCATTCAGTTACCCTTAATGACCAGCGGTTATCCTGTCTACGTGCTACATCCCCGGCCCATGTCCGTTTCCTCTTTTTGATTTCCACTATGATATCCTTAACCCCCGTTTGTTCCCTAATCCACTCTGCTCTCTTCTTGTCTCTTAAGGTTGCACCTACCATTTTTCTTTCCATTGCTCGCTGCGTCGTCCTCAATTTAAGCTGAACCCTCTTTGTAAGTCTCCAGGTTTCTGCTCCGTAGCTAAGTACCGGCAAGATACAGCTGTTATATACCTTCCTCTTGAGAGATAGTGGCAATCTACCTGTCATAATTTGAGAGTTCTTGAGAAATGTGCTCCACCCCATTCTTATTCTTCTAGTTACTTCAATCTCATGGTTTGGCTCCGCAGTTATTACCTGCCCTAAGTAGACATAGTCTTTTACAACTTGAAGTGCACTATTACCTATCTCGAAGCGCTGCTCTTTTCCGAGGTTGTTGTACATTACTTTCATTTTCTGCAGATTAATTTTAAGACCCACCTTTCTGCTCTCCTTGTTCAACTCTCTAATCATGAGTTGCAATTCGTCCCCTGAGTTGCTCAGTAATGCAATGTCATCGGAGAAGCGCAGGTTATTAAGGTACTCTCCATCAACTCTTATCCCTAACTGTTCCCATTCTAGGCTTCTGAAACCTCCTGTAAGCACGCGGTAAATAGCATTGGGGAGATTGTGTCCCCCAGCCTTAAACCCTTGTTGATTGGTATTCTGTTGCTTTCTTTATGAAGCACTATGGTAGCAGTTGATCCCCTGTAGATTTCTTCCAGGATGTTTATATATACTTCATCGACACCCTGATTCCGCAGTGTCTGCATGACTGCTGATATTTCTACTGAATCAAACCCCTTCTCGTAATCTATGAAGAATATGTATAGTGGTTGGTTATATTCTGAGCATTTCTCTATTACCTGATTGATAGTATGAATGTGGTGGATTGTTGAGTAGCCTGTTCGAAATCCTGCTTGTTCCTTTGGTTGATTGAATTCTATATTTTTCTTTACTCTGTTAGCAATTACTTTTGTAAATAGCTTGTACACTAAGGAGAGCAAGCTGATCGGCCAGTAATTCTTCAAGTCCTTGTCATCTCCTTTCTTATGTATTAAGATGATGTTAGTATTCTTCCAAGACTCTGGTACTCTGCCCGTCAGGAGACACCTCGTAAACAGGGTGGCTAGTTTTTATAACACAATCTGTCCTCCATCTTTCAGCAGATCTGATGTTACCTGGTCCTCACCAGCAGCTTTGCCTCTTTGCATGCTCTCCAAAGCTTTTCTGACTTCTTCTATCATTACTGGCTGGGTGTCATCTGGGTTACTGCTAGTTCTTATAGTATTAAAGTCGTGGTTGTCTCGGCTACTGTACAGATCTCTGTAAAACTCCTCCGTTATTTTAACTATCCTATCCCTATTGGTAGTTATTTTGCCTTTTTTGTCCCTTAGTGCATACATCCGATTTTTGCCTATCCCAAGTTTCCTCTTCACTGCTTTGATGCTTCCTCCGTTTTTCAGAGCGTGTTCAATTCTCTCCATGTTATACCTTCTTATATCGCATGCCTTACCCCTATTAATCAACTTTGAAAGCTCTGCCAGTTTTATTTTGTCTGTTGTACTTGAGACTTTCATGATTTGACGCTTCTTAATGAGATTCTTCGTTTCCTGGGAAAGCTTGCCAGTGTCCTGTCTAACTACCCTGCCTCCAACTTCCACTGCACACTCCGTAATGATACTCGTCAGATTATCATTCATTGTATCTACGCTAAGGTTGGTTCCCTCACTAATAGTCGTGTACCTGTTCTGAAGCGAGACTCTGAATTCCTGTACTTTCCCTCTCAGTGCTAGCTCATTGATTGGCTTCTAGCGTATCAGTTTCTGTCGTTCCTTCTTCAAGTCTAGGCGAATTCGAGACCGTACCATTCTATGGTCACTGCATCGTACCTTGCCAACCACTTCTACATCCTGCACAATGCCTGGGTGTGCACTCATTATAAAGTCTATTACGTTTCTATTTTTGCCATTAGGACACCTGCATGTCCACTTGCGGTTTCCTCGTTTTCGATGGAACGTATTCAAAATCCGTAAATTATTGCGTTCTGCGAATTCTACTAGTATCTCTCCTGTGGCGTTTCTAGTGCCGATGCCATAATCTCCTACTGCCTGGTCTCCAGCCTGCTTCTTCCCTACGTTTGCATTAAAGTCTCCCATCAGTATAGTATACTATGTTTTTACCTTACTCATTGCCGATTCCACGTCTTCATAGAAGCTTTCAACTGAAGCGTCATCATGGCTGGATGTAGGCGCGTAAACCTGTACACCTTCATCTTGTATCTTTTATTCAGTTTAATTACGATATCTACCACTCTTTCATTAATGCTATAGTATTCTTTTATGTTACCAGCTATGTTTCTGTGAACTAGGAAGCCCACTCCCAGTTCTCTTCTGTAAGGCAAGCCCCTATAGCAAAGGACGTTCCCATTCTGTAGCACCATATAAGCCTCATCTGTCCTCCTAACCTCACTGAGCCCATTTAACACCTTCTAGCTCCTTGAATAATACAGCTAGACTTCCCTCACTAGTCGGGGGTCATTTGGGGGGTCACGGTCTGTGCTCCTTCTATGTGGCTGCAATGTTGTCTATTGATCTTTTGGCGGCGGCAATGATGGCATGGAACTTAAACGCAGAGGTATGGTTCTTGTTGAGTAAGGGTACACACTCCTAGAACAATATTTGTCTGATGTTAAAGGCTATGACCTACTGGTGACTCATGACGCACTCAATGAAAATGTTTTTGCACTGTGTACGGTGGGACTTGCGTACAAAAGCACATCATCATGTGCTGTTGTCTGAAGCTCGAAATTGCAAATGATACATATTGTATATTGCATTGGACGTTAGGTGGCATGAGTGTTTGTAAGGAACTGGGCGGCAGCATGTTCCTTCATTGCGTTGCTTGCAAACTTTTCCCACGGTTTTCGAAATACATGCAATTGGACTAAGTGTACGAGTTTACCCTGCTGCTCTAAAACTTCTCAGAGCACCTAATAGAGGCTTTTGCCTTTTACGTGCGCAGAAGAAAGTGCAGCACAGAATTAAGAAACCAACTTATCGGAGAAACTGGCTTCATATGTTTTTCTTGTGGTAAGCACATTGCATTTCAATATAGGTTGCAAAAAAGGCAGAAAACAGCCTTGTGTCTCTCTAATAAATGAGCCAAACTCCTGCTCAAAAATTGGCAGAGCTATCTTGTTGGAGCAAAAAAAAAAAAAAAAAAAGAGGCACAGCCACGTGCCCCATCAGTGGGTCACGACGCACCTGGCGGATACACCCCAATGGCCCACTGATGGGTCACTGTGCACCTGAAACCAGACTAAAGAAAAGCATGCCACAGTGAACGTGTAAATCAATTGATAGCGCTTCAAGATGTCCAATCTGCGTTTGTCTACTTCACAGGATCTTGATTTGGTTACTGTGCTTGACAAAGCCAGTGCACACTAAGTACTCATCCAGATCAGCTGAAAGGGCCAGTAAGCAACCTTGATGTCCAAAAATTGTAATGAAGAAAAATATGGGCACTTTTGTTACGCAAACATGCTGCCGCAAGAATATTATGAATATGTGCTATAGTAAGGAAGTTATAGGGATTAGGACATCTGTTGCAGCTGGTTTCAAAATTTCACACGGCCTCTCCATCCTTCTGGGCTGTAGGGAGGAGGGAAGGTGGCCTGTCATCGGAACTCCGCCTACTTTGGCAATATGACATGGCGTCAACGATACGTCATCAGAACGCAGCCAATGTCTGAGCAGGGCTTCAACTACATCAGCATGTGTCATAGCGGCGTGGGAAGGAGGTGGTGTGCCCTTCCCCTAGCGGTGAAATAGCGAAATGCCTCTTTATCTCGAAGGCTTTTGTTGTGTTAATACTGCCTCTCCTGATATTCTCGTGCTCCACAAAACAGCAGAGGGCAGTGCAAGAAAATTAAAATTGCGGACTTCGCAATCAAAACTGCATCACTGTAGGGCCAAGGCACCGTTTCATAGAGCAAATGACCAATTGACGACTTCAGTGGCACGTCAAGTTGTGCAGGGGCAAGTTCACATCACTGCGGACATGAGGGACATTGGTTGGAACGAAAGAGGCGCAGGAAGGCTTTTTCTAAATCGACAGCAAGCAGCACTGTAATATTCAGAAATGTGATCGTCGTAGTCTACTTGCACAAATTGGCAAGCTTGTTTAGGGGATGTAAAAAAAAGAGAAAATTCGAAACCTGTTTACAGGAGTTTTAGGTACTGGAGTTGATCGTCAATTGTGCCGAGTCATGTATGGTGTCATAGCAGTACATTATAGTCATTTATAAGTGTTGCGGCTGCTACAGGGTGACATCACGTGCCGGTGCTGCCCTTATCTGAACTGGAAGTTATGGTAATTGCTTAAGAAAAAAGATTAACGTAAAAATTAAAAATTCTCAAGGTTAAAAGGCACAGTCACTTGTTACCCTCATCCTCTACCCCGTATGTGTAATATGCAATGCGCACGTCAAATCAAAAGCAGAGAGAAAGCAATCGGAGGCTGTGATAAACTGTCAGTAACTCTGCTTAACCTTGACAGATACTTCAGAATCTTTACTGCTGGAGATTCGTGACACAATTCGGTCCTGTAGTAAGATTTTTGTATGATTATTTAGAAAAGTGTTGCAGGACCTCTTTAAAGTGAACTACTTTTGTGCACTGCTTGAACCAGAGGTTCTTACAGATTTCAGACATGTGGAGTGCAAAATGAACTCTGCATCAAGTGAGCACTCTTGTAGATGTCCCATTGTTTTCCTTGCAGCTGGCTCACAAGCTGGACTGGTGCTTCCACACAGCTCGGGTGAACTGCATTGGTTGGTCACCCGACTCAAAGTTTCTTGCTACTGGTAGTTTGGACACTGGTGTGATTGTCTGGAGCACAGAGCACCCCACAAAGCATATCAACATCAAGAGTAAGTTTTCTTTATTGGATTGTTGTATTATCTTTCCCACTGTCTATGAGATTTACTTTGCATTATTAGAGTTTTTTTGGTTTGATAGCTTGATTATAGTGGCAAAAATTGTGTACTGGTGGCTAGGGGCTATCTTTTTTTCTTGGTGGACTGCACTCAAATTTTAATTATGCTAAGCAAGGACTTATTGGTAGCTTCAACTCAAGCGTGCTTGCTATGATGTACATTATCATTCACTCGTAATATAATGCCCTTTGGCCTTTCTTGAACCTCGTGCCCCAAAGAACTGGGGTAGCTGCACACCATTGGTGCAAAGAGTGAGGGAATTGAGGTCCCTATCATGTCTGCAAGCTCCAACTCGCTGTCCTTTTCTACCCTCTTACTATATTTGGCAATGCTGCATCCTCTTTCAGCATGTCTAATCGTTTAACAGCTCTGCTTTAAAACTCTACGCGTCGTTGTGGCCTATCGCAGTAGCCCTGTGGCTATGGTGTTGAACTACTGGGCTTATAGCAAGGTGCGTGCAGGTCCTTGAAAACCTTGAAAACCCTCTCACTTGAAGATGCATTTTCAAGGCCCTTGAAAGTCCTGAAATTTTTTCCCATCCTTGAAAATTCTTCAATTTCCTGAGCACTCCGTGTCAACATTGCGGCCTGTTTTATATGGTAGATCAACATACCTGCCAAGTCTCCCAGATTTTTATCAGTTCTTACGTTTTTACGGTTGTCAGGAAAATCTTTCTGAAATAATTTCTGTGCGTGATCTGGCCACATTGACAAAAATGCAACCCAATCGAATCCAGGCTTTTGCGAACCCATCACATTTTATTGTGAACAAATTGAGGAAGTGTTCATAATGATGCGAAACCGGCAGATATAAGAATTTGGGAAATTCCTCAGCCAAGTTTCACTGTTCATTGGGCCAAAATTCGGATGTTCCGAGCTCTTTTTCTCATCGCTGCGGGACGTATGAACTTTAGGGCCGAAACCTTGAAAAGGAGGTTGAGAGCAGAGTGCTCAAAACTTCGGAAGGACACGTGCCACCAGCGCACTCACTGTCAGAACTGCGGTTATCGTTTGTCACAACTGCTGTGTACAAAACCATGGTCGCTTTGACACGATCATGTGTGGCGACGATGTTACAGAACTCCAAAAGTGGACGCGCCTTCAGCGCTCAACGTTGCATTCCACAAATGCGGCGAACAAAATCGCGACAGATGCAGTCATTGCAAAAAATGACATGGTTTTGAAGTTACGTGCGCAGCCAGTGCTCGTGAATTGAAACGAAACTACCGGTTTCCGCAACCGCTGCGTGCGAAACTGCGGTTGTGGACGCGGCTAACGCAGCAGTAAAGGCGATAAAGATGTAAAAAACGCTAAAAGTGTTTTGGCGTTCTTTTCCAAAAAATAAGTAACGCTCCTGTTGATCTGGGTACTTTGGCTATACTTACATGTTAAGTTTTCGATTGTCTTAAACAAAGCTTCAGCGCGCGCTTTCCCGCCAACCAGCTGCGTCGTCCCATCCGTTGGCGTGTGTCCCAAGAAGATATACACGAGTTATTTTGACAGAAATATATTTTGCTAGTTGTTTTGATGTTTAAAATTTTGAGAGATACAGGTAGTATGTTCGCTCTCTTTTGAGTCTTGCAGTTTTTACTGAGTTTGAAAACTGGAAACCCCACCCTCGGTGTTCAGCCACTCGAAATTGGTATGAGACCGCGCAACGCCAATGTTTAGGCTCCCCCCCCCCCCTTCCCCGTTTTTTTTTTCGCTATGTTTTTTTTTTGGTGCAAAAATAAAGAAAGGGGGAAAATACATCAGCACAACACGCGCCCCCACCCTCTTCCCGTTGTGAAAATCTCCCAGATTCAGAATCCTTGAACTTGGCATGTATAGATCGGCATCGACCTGACCAAGTTTCCATTTCCCAAACAGTAATTGAGCGTAGGTTGATATGGTTTCGTTTTCCAAACTGTACGGGTAATAAGGTTTTACTGTGCCAAACCACAAACAAACTAAGAGAGAGACTCGTAATGCTCTTCGGTGCTGGCTCCTTTCCTATTATGCAAGTGGTGAAGTTAAAGTGCGCTAAAGTGCAGACTAGACATGTTTGTTATAACTGCAGTATGCATGTACTATATTAGTGCAATGAAAGTGAGTCAATTTTGAAAAATCTAAAATAACAAATTTTTAACAGTGCTTGCCGCCCTTAGTCCTTGAAAAACCTGTGACAGGTCCTGGAAAGTCCTTGAATATCCTTGAATTTTTGCTTTGGAAACCTGTACGAGCCCTGTTATAGTCATGGGTTTGATCCTTGTTCCTCTGGCTGTATTCTAATGGAAGCAAAAGAAAAAAATGCATGTGCATATATACTAAGATATATAAGCTTGGGTTAACGAGCCATAGGTGAGAAAAATTACTTCGAAATCTCTGTGACACATACTATGTATGTTCCTAAATGTCACACTTTAAGTTCAAATTCCGTAACATTAAGTGTGTTTTATATGAGATTACGCAAAAAGAAATCTTAAGTAATGTTTGCTTTATTATCCAGTATGAAATGCATCCCTTAGTGCAGCTCTATCGCTATACAGTGGACTCCCAATAAACGAAACTCGCTTAAACGAAACTGCCTCATTAACGGAACTAAATGGGCTCATATGGCTGGATTTCTATGTGTTTCGCAGTAAAATTCATCGTTTAATCGAAACAGTGCTTATTGATCACTTACGGTTAAACGGTACAAACTCTAAACACAGCATAGACTTGCTTATGCCAAAGGTAGTCTCACAACCATGGCAACACCTTGAGATCGAGACAAGCCAATCCATTACCCATTCTGGCTTGTGGTTATGGCAACACCTTGAGATCGAGACAAGCCAATCCAGTACCCATTCTGGCTTGTGGTTGTGGGAGCGAAGTTGGCGAGCCAATTGAGCGTTAGGCCTATTTGTGCGGCGAAGTGCGGTGGATCACGGTGTTATTTCAGCCTGATGGAAATGAAGCGGCCGCACTCTCGCTTGAATAAAAGCTGCAGATTCTTCAGGAGCTCGATCGAAGCAGCCTGCCCAAGATGGAGGTGGCAAAAAAATGCATCCCAAAATCAACCCTGTTGCGGATCTGGAAAGACGAAGAAAAGATTGAAAGCACTGTTAAGAACAGGACCTTTACATCTAAACGGATGCGGACGACGCTTATGAACAACTGGAAAAGTTCTTTTTCTGTGGTTCAAGCGTGCACGGAGTTCCAATTTGCCCATAAGCGGACCAATTCTCGAGCAGAAAGCTCGAGAGATCGCCATGCAAATGGTTAAGAACTTTGTCCTAAGCGACGGATGGCTCAGCCGCTTCAAAACATGCCGCGGCCTAGTCTTCAAAGCAATCTCAGGTGAGAGTGATGCAGTCAACAGGGACATTTGCACCACCTGGCAACAGGGGCGGCTTAAGGAAATTTTGATGAGCTTTGAGCCACAAGACGTCTTCACTGTCGACGAGATGAGTCTTTTTTATAAGGCGCTTCCATCAAAGACTCACCTTCGAAGGCGAAGCCTGTAGCGGAGGAAAATGCAGTAAAGATTGCATCACTGTGCTGGTGGATGCAAACATGGCAGGAGATGAGAAATTGAAGCTGTTGGTAACAGGAAAATCAGGGCACCCACGTTGTTTCAAAGGCATTCGATACCTTCCCATTGCGTACCATGGGAACGAAAAAGCGTGGATGACCATGGCCATTTTCAAAAACTGGCTTCAGGAGGAAGACGCACGATTTACGAAGCAAGGCAGGAAGGTTGTCTTCGTCGTGGATAATTGCCTAGCCCACGGTCAGGTTCAAGTACTCCAAGCCATCACTCTGGAGTTCTTGCCAGCCAATGAAACGGCAGTGATCTAGCCAATGGATCAAGGCGTTATTCAGAACATTAAAGTTCACTACTGTAGACGATTGCTCCATCAAATGCTGCATAGAGCAGGCAGTGGGAAATGCTACAGCATAGATTTATTGGCAGCCATCCACATTTTGGCTTGTGCCTGAGGGCAAATGAAGGCAACAACAATACACAGATGCTTCCACCATGCTGGCTTTCAAGTGCAAGAAAGCAGTACCTCACGAAGAAGAAAGCCCTGCTGATGCCGACATTGAGACAGTATTCAGTCAGGTCGTACCCTCTGCCCCTTTCACGCTGCAGGACTACAAATTAATTGATGAAAATGTTCGTACCTTTCATGAAGAGACTGTCGAGGAAATGATTGCCAAAGTGCACGATGAGGATCAATCCTTCAGCAATGAATGTGATGACAATACTGCCAGTGAAGTGGTGCCACCAGACCGATCAGTTAAAGAGGCTGTGGAACTTTCGCAGCGCTATTTTGAGCATGAGGCTTGTCCATAACTTCTAGCTTGTTTGTCGGGCATGGGTGTGTACCTTGTGAAACATCAACTCAAGCTTGCCAAACAAACCACTCTTCACTCCTTTTCTTTCTCCTACTCATCCTCATTAGTAAGGTGAGGTTTGTGCAGTTTGAATAAAGGTCTTAGTTCACTAAATAAGTGTACTTTGCCTAAATGAAACTTCTGATAAATGGAACAGTTTTATGGATCCCCTTTGGGTTCCGTTTAAGAGGAGTTGACTCTACTATATAAATCTTTTTTTTTTTTTGGTTAGTTATGTAACTGTGTGGTGTTCTTTTATTATTTCCTGGCCATGTGATGATAACTGAAGTGCTCTTTTCTTTCAGGTCTCTTGCTCGAGAATATAGTTGTGTGGCGTTCAAAAGATTGCAAATGCCCTCCCCCCTTCCTCCCCACCTGTTTTATGTACCCCTATGAGTAATTTTTTCATTGCAGAGGCTCATCCCCAGAGCCAAATCACCAGGCTAGCATGGTTGGACAATTCGACAATTGTGTCGGCTGGCCAGGACAGTAATGTGAAGATTTGGGAGGTGACATTCTCCTGAAGTGGGGTTCCTTTCGACACTGCCACTACACAACACAGGCTTGCAGTGAGGCAAGGCTCTTGCCTTGGCCTTTATGTTTTTCCCCTCACTTTGTTTTGGAACAGTTTATGTTGGGTTTGAGCTCTTCCACTTCTGCGCATTGCATCTTTGACAACTTGTTTGTTTTGTTTATGCATGTAACCAGATGTGGTTTCAGATCATGTTTTTTTTTTTTGCAAGCTTTATTCATGTATCCGGGTTTTTCTTTTTTTGCTTTTTTTAAAATTTTAGGTGTAGTAAAATGAAAGTGTGATGCAAGTAAATTATTGATGACTTGGAAGCATATGAGAGGCCTTCTTTTGGACAAAAGAAAAAAAAAACAGGACAGACAAAATAACTGACAGATTCCTAGTGTTTTGAAGTGCTTGTGTTGGCTAGGGTTATAGTGCCTATGTACCTGTGTAAACTGAACTGAATGCTGTGTTTGGACTAACTTGTGGATTTGTTGTGACTTTTCATTGGTAATGGACTTGAGTTCAAAGCAGAAGAAAACGCTCGTGGACGTTGCTGAAGAATTCTTGTTGTTGCAGTTTAGTGTTTTAGTTGAGTCAGTTGCTTTATACTCTTTTGTTTCTTGCTTTTTTTTGGTTGAGTTCAAAATGGACCCTTGTTCTTTTGGTCACTGTTTTGATGTATGACATGCTTTTGTAAGTTTTATTCAGTGAAAACATGCCTTACGTGAAGCCTTAAATAAGAAGGATGCCTTGCCACAATCTTAAGCTTTTCTTTGTGAATGACTGTAGTTTTTTCAGTGTGAGTCCATGGAAGTTGTGTCACTTGCAGCAAGTTGTCCAGTATTTATTGTGGCGTGAATGATGGGATCAAGATAAAAAAAAAAAGATATGTAAGCATTTTGATGATGGTTTTTGAAGCTTTTCTTTCCATGCTACATTTTGAGGAGTACTGTGTGTATTTTGTTAACTTTTAAAAAATGCAGGTTGCCTTGCTAATAAAAGGGGAATTAACATTTCATCTTGTCTTCTGTTTGTGAGAAAAAAGGCATAACCATTTCTGGTTGTGTACTATTTATTCTATGTGTATTATTTCAGAACATACCCTAGAGTTTCGCAGCTCTAGCTCAACAATTTAAAATATGCTAGTCGTCTAGTACAGAACCATACTTTGAAGCTATTAGTGTCCAAGTAGTATGTTTCATTCAAATACTTTGCTTGAAATGCAATTGCGATGTGCTTGACATTAGGGATGGAAGTGCTGCGTCAATAGTGCCATTCTGCGCCAATCTGACCACTATGCAAAGCTGCGCCTAAACAGCAATTTGCGCGTGCAACGCCGAATTTAGTAGAGTTTTATCATCAACCAAGCAAGACACGTGGTCTATACAAACGCAACTGCATCCATATCTCATGTAGTTCAGTCACCTCGTATTTCGGTTCATGCATGAATCTTGTGCCATGTGAACGAAATGCATGAATCTTGGTAAGGTGACCTTTGTGTGTATACCTCATTATGCGACTCTATATATATATTTTCTTACAGCCAAGCTGTTAGTCAAACTATATAGACAGCAGTGGTGTTGCAAAAAACTTGCCGCACTGTTGCCAAGCACTGCAGGCACCTTGCCATGAAGACCGTTGAACCATATGAACTGTTAAAAAATATATAAAAATCAGTTTCGCCGGCGAAGTGATGAATGTAGAGCAATAATTTGTAATGTTGTATTAGTAATAAGGCACGCACTCATTTTATTTTTGTTACCGCCTCATTACGCTGCAACGCTGCCTTGCGCAAACCGTGCTCAAATGACAGAGAATCATCTGATGAAGGTTCTAATGGGAACCTTCTGATGAGATTACGCGCACAACGCATACATTAGAGTGTACTGGAACTTACGCGGCCTTTAGCGATAACGCTGGAAGCTTCGATGGCATATGTATAAATGCTGACACACTTCACTGCTTCAGGCTATCGTCGGCTGACACTCTATGTTCGCTTCTGTCAGTCTGCAGCGTGTATTGCTTTTAGAGTGATGTTTTGTTTTCCGGGCACGCGTTCGCCCAAATAAAACGTGCAATCATGAAAACAGTGACTGCTGCATTTGTCAACCTCACGATCCCGTGACAATACAAAGGCTGACAACTGACCCTTTTGAATCAACCATAGCAAAACTCTACAAAATGCTGGTGTAAGAGATTAAGTACGGCCAACGGCCGCTCCAGGGAGAATTGCTCTTATCGCACATTTTCTTCCCGTTGAGAGCGCACCAGAGAACACCTACCACCAGAGCATCACGTAGAACTGTTTACGAGCAGTGTGCCGATGCTTGCCGAGGTAGCGCGCGCGCCAGCTATTGCAACCACGTCCTTGGAATCCAAGATCATAGCTGCTGCTCGAGTGACACTTACTCCCATTTCTCCCCCGTCTTTTCATGCTCGTTCAAGACGAGCGGCATGTTTCCTCTCTGCTAGAACATTCGACGGCAGGTCTAACACGCGGTGTTACAGCGACGGAGATTAACAGCGATGGAGATTGGCCGCCTCGTTCAATCTGTTTGAGCAGTGCTTGTCGCCCCATTTCGTGTGAATTTACGCGTGGGTAGAACGTACAATGCACAGGAAATTTCGCCAACTTGTAGTTTACGCGGAACATGGCGGCGACGGCGAAAAACCTGTCGAGTGTCCATATAATTCCTATCGTAATTGAAAGTTTTTGCTTCATCGCCTAGCAATGGCGCCGCGAGTGCATCTAAATTTTCTCGCGTTTGTAGGCTGTTGCTCTTCCATGACCGAAACATGTTTTTTCTTTTACATTTATATTTATAGGGTCTTATTGGGTTTAGTATGAAGACAGCTGTTATTAGCTCATCTCTGGTCTTGAGTTGCTGTGCATGTTGGATTCCGTGTTTTAATCACATTTTGAACATTGCTGCATTTTAACATTAAAGTTTTTCATTTATCTGAGGTATAGGTATCCAAAGTACCACTTATTTTTTCAGTTTTGTCTTTGAATTCCTGTGCTTTCAGCTTTGATTTTTTTAGTATATATAAATATATATATATATATATATATATCTGTGTGTGTGTGTGTATGTGTGTGTGTGGGTGGGTGAGTGGGTGGGTGGATGGGGTAAGTTTGGTTGTTTCATCAGCGTGGAATGTTTAGTGAAAACCACTGAAAACTTTTGTGTTTACTAGACAGCAACAGTTTTAATAACGGGGATATTTAACCGTAGAAATCTGCTCCCAAACTAAATTTCGATGCTCCAAAACACACCTTTCCTTTTGGTGCTCCAGAGCTGCTCCAAAACTCCCCGTTTGCTGCTCCAAAGTACCCCCAAAACCTCATTTCTGCTCCCAAAGACTGAAGCCCGCTTCCATTGCTGTGAAATGCAATTACGCAGAAAACAAACCTCGGTGAAGCTATGAAACATGTATCAATTCCTAAAATACAGGTGTTTTGTGCAGTTTGTAATGTTTGCGATTTTTCCCTCAACACTTATAAGACAGTATTTTTACTCGTTTGACGGGAATAAATGTTAACCAAGTGCGGTGGTTTTTCCCCTGGGTGCGGTCAAAATTTAGAAATTGTAAAGATTGGCGGGAAAGTGTCGTTTACGGCCTAAATTTATAAAAAATTTTCGCGCCGGCTTTCTCTTCAGGTGAGAATGGGTGAAGGTTCGTCGCAGTGCCCCCCTTCAGACTATGTCAGTTTATGGGGGCGACTTTGCGACCCCCCCTCTAAGAAAATTGAGCCATTCCCCCCCCCCCACCTTGTGCGCGCCTATACACGCACCCAGTCGGGTTTTCGCAAGCAACAGTTTGTTGAGCCCTAATGTACCCAGTATGTGAGAGGCGTTGGACGGGTAGATCCACGCAATGTGTGACCTGAAGACGGCACTCGTGATCTCCGCCTTTTTGTGGCTCGCGTACGACGTCCAACAATGATGTGTCGCTGCCGTCTTCAAAGGAGAAAGTGCGTACGACGTCCAACAATGATGTGTCACTGCCGTCTTCAAAGGAGAAAGTTCTGTTGAACAAATGTAAAAGTATAGCTCCTCTGCTGCGTTTTGATCAGGACGAAATATTGTGGCATATGCTGACGTTTCTAAACATTTCTAGGCAATCTGTTTGAAAAGGCTGAAGTAGTTTCCAAGAAAGAGAGAGCTGCTTATAGCACAAGGCTCATGAACAAGGTGTTATCCTAATATTTCATACATGTAAAGTTCCTTTCAGAAATGGATAGCCCTAAATCAAACAAGACAAAGACGAGCACAGGAAAAGCGCTAGGTGCAACTAAGCCTTATTTCAAAAAGTCTCCCTAATATATGAACAGCCGAGTGGCGCGTGTGGGCGCATTGCACGTGCCAGTCAACAACGCTTTAATCAGGATCAAAACAGCAATACATACATGTGTGCATCATAATCATGCTTCTAAAATCGGTTTTAAATGTGAAACATTTCTTAGTCGCATAGGGTCTCGAATCCGGCGTCGGCCGAGCCGTCCACACCCCTGCATGCGCATGCTCGCGTCTCGTGCCGAATGCTCGTGCCAACTGTCGCTCCCCTCACCCCTCTCGCCTGGCAGGCTGACGCAGGTAGCGAGTAAAAAAAAAAAAAAAAACAGACATCTCGCGCTGCACAACCGTTCACTGGCCATTCCGTTTATGTAGGCACTGGATCGCGCGTTCATTCAGTCAAAGGTGTCTTAACTTGGCTTTCTCTTGACTTGACGCTTTGCTTGACTCGAGCAGGTCCGATGATAGCAACAGTATACCATCAATCATGTAGTGGGGCACAAGCCAACATCAGCATCCCACCACTCATTGAATGCTACTCCTTCATTCAACAAGTAAGAATAGTTAAGATGAAATAAAAATCAAGCATTCCCAAATCATGCCCAATTACGCAACACTCACGCGATACCACTCTGCGACGCATTTACTCGTTTCCCCGGTGGGACGATGCGGGTGGCTTTTTGTTTCTTTACTGATGCGCAGCACAACTGAAGTGTCACTGATACAATTACCAAATATGTATTAATGTGATAAGCTTCCATCAGATCTCTCGCCAGGGCATTCCCACTTCTGCCTATATTTCGAATTCTAGTCGGCACTGGCTTACAGGTCCTGCAATGCATAGGTAAATTGAAAGTGAAGTTATTGGTTTCTCGTGTTTCCGTGCTCGATCGTTGGCGCAGCGGTCAGTCTGGCCGATATAAATTTGACACAGGTGAGTGGGATTTCGTACAAGACGCGTACGGCGCATGAAACGTGGGGCCGAACGAGCTTTTTTCCGCATGTTGATTTCTCGGGTTGTGCCGAAATGCCTTGGCATAGCCGAGCCAGTTTACGCGGCGCAGAAACAACCTAAAGGTACATTGTACATATGTACCACATTTTTTGTTTTAAATTTGCGCGACACTTTGTGCACATACGGCACCACTTGCGGCCTTTTTACAGCGAAATAAGTTATGAGATCACAACTCGGGTCAAGCGTAGCATAGTTGTCTGCCGCCGCCGCCGGTGTCCGTAACCACATCGCACGAAATTAGAAGAAAAACTTAGTACCAATGACACAGTGGGGCTCGAACCCGTGTCCGCTGGGTGCCAGTCCAGTATTCTACCACTGAGCTACGCCGGTGCTTGGGACTTGTTGGCAAACTTGCCTTAGGCAGGTTTGATGTTGGTGAAGCAATCGCGTTAATACGACTTGTAAAGTGTTTCGAAACAGCGAAAGAACAACCAGTCGTCGCACAATGCAAATAGCGTAATGAGTGGGTCGTCCAGTGCTCCAACCCATTAAAACATTTTGTTCTTGTTCACCTATTAACTGTAGCGCATACCCACTTCAGCCATAATTCCCCATCGTCGTCAGCCACTGCCTGAACAATTAGCACGAAATTGCTTGCAAGTCTTTAGCGGACACCACGCTTCTCAGAAGAATGACGAAAAATTGCATAGCGAATGTCGGCCTACTACCCCCAAAAATTTAATAATGCCCTAGTGGGCATCAAGC